ACAGACAACGCTGTCAGCATCCAGTTAACTCGCTCTACTAGTAACGACTTGTAATGTTTGTCTGCACATTCTGATTTGAATGTAATTGTATAAGCCTGAAGATGAATTATAGAAAACACATGTTGGCTTAACCTGACTTCTGCTTATTGGAAACTCGGATAAGCTCTATCATAGGTAAATAGATGAGGAATTAGCAATTTCCCGGCACACCGTACCGGCGCTCTGCTGCCACACGATCTCTACCAGTCGCATGTGGGCTGGTGGAATTAAGATGTCCGGATCTACACAGACTCGAAGCAGTGACTTTGGCAGGCGCCTTATTCTTTTTGCTTCTCACCGACTGTGTGTGAGGTAACGACCAATCATTACATGACTGGAGAAAGCCGTTCTGCCATAGAGAGCAGCGCATAGTTAGATGCTTTGGTCACTGTTCAAACAGGTGCTTGTGGAGAGGTAGTACACTGAAGGACTTACCAATTACTTGTGTGAATGCATTGAGGAGAAGAAACATGGAAAACAGCCTAACTCCTAAGGGTGTTACACTTCCAAAAATAGTGTCGAACAATAAATTATTGCAATGGTGGGAATAAGATAGTAGTGAGATTTTTACGACTGATGATCGTCATTGGACTACAAAACAGCGAATTAAAAACGTTTGTTACAGCTATTGTTTTATCATCGGTAGGAATGACAAAATCATGAGAAATATGTTAGACAAATAAAGCAATGCTTTAGGCTTTAAATAACAGCATCCCAGAAGTTACCCTGAGCATAGTTGTGCTGGCGCTGTAACCAAACCAATAGTTGATGCACAACTTTTGCAAAAGGTATGGTGATGTTACTGCACTAAGAGGAATGTAATGAGAAGCTATTATTCATCTACAAATAGCTTTTTACTTCTTCGAGTTGCTTCACGACAAAGATGTCTTGTCACTGGATATGATTTAACCGTGTATGTGTGCGCTTGTGTCCAAACTTCTAAACGTATGTGTGATTGATCTTTAGTGAGAGTAATCTCGGCACCCACCATGATTAATTTTAGTGTTATCCACGACCATTATTTGTAAAAGCTTTTGTACGCTTTTTAAACGTAGCTCAAACCTCCGAATATATAAGCTAGATGGAAGCGTAGACGAAGAGGAATCTGATGGTTACAATTTAGCCCAAATAACTGTTGTCAACTGATCTCCAGCCTACGGAACAGGCAAACAGGAGGATATACTAATAAAGGCCTAACTTTCCATTTTATTTGACGCTTGTGACAGTTTTCTGGTTACTTGAAGTACAATTCAAAGAATGCACTAACAATGCCTATATTTTGAACAATGTAAGTTGAACAGTGACTTTTAACATAGGAACACGCGGGTACTTGACTAGTTTCGCAGGACGACCGGAGTGAGGATTATAAAGCCAAAGGTAAAAATGACAGAAGGAGGAAATATTGCGGACGGTAGATGATTCACATTGTTAGTTCAGGTGACTTACTTCAGGTTTTATGTGACTTGAAAGTGTGCGAGTTTAGATCTAAGACTGCCGCCATTCAGAAAGCAGTCAGTTTTATTCTGGTTGTAAAAGACATAAAATAACAACATAACCACCGTCCTTCTGTCAGGAGTGCGGCTTCAACCGTCTTACGTCTTTAATATGCGTGTCTTTTTTAAGCATACATCTTATTGGATAAGTGACCAGTATTTCCATTACATCTACAGTGTCAAAAGCATTACTTTAATATAGTTAGTAAACACAACCAAATTAACTCAGAAAACAGAACTTACCGTGTGTGATGCGCTTAATTTCCTGTGAGGGTAGACAACATGTTCTATGTCGACTATCGTACGAGTATCTCCCCCCGGGCGGAGTTCGACTTAGACGCTGCGCGAAAATCTCACAAATATCTTATTTAAATTTGTTTTGTTTGCGGAGTTTAACCTGCAGTCAGAACAAAGTACTACTTTAAGGGATCTTGAGGGCCTTTGCGAAAGTTTCGGGAAATTTATATTTCTCATGTCGACTATGTCCAGTAGATGGCCAAATGAAGTCTATCTAAGCAACAGACGACAGACTAGAAGGTTCTGGGTTTCTTATACCAAAATACACAAGTAGAAATTCGATAAATGAAAACGAAACAACTGGCCAGTGTTCATTGAAGCTATGATGGTTGAATGTCTGGGTATATTTGGGCTGGATGCCTGTCAAAATCGCTGTCTGCATGTTAGCCCACCACAATCATTCTGCTAGCATCCAAGCAAAACCTCTTGGAACTTAGGAATACTCTTTAAGCACTTCTGAGATGTAAGGGCCCTAATTCCATAATATAGATGTGACGTATTGCACTGTCAAAATACAGTGCATGTGCGCTACTCATTTTAATTCACCTTTTTCCTAATACTACGACTTTCTGATGTTTAAGCAAGAAAAATCAGTGGAGTCATAATCAGATCCTTCGTGATAATCAATAGATATATCTTACCTGTAATTGAATGCTGCTAGAGCGTACATACTAACATTCAGCTAAAGTAAACTTTAGGCAAACTCCCCAATCCCTTATCAACTAACGTTTCTGATACACCACAGCAAGTACCTACGATCAACGTCGCAATTTAATTAGATACCTGGTTCCTTTGAATTAAACGTTACTTATTACAAAGCATACGTCACTCTGGTAATGAGATTAACGGGTTTCACAGAATGCTGGTTATGAATACCTGCTGACAGCTTTCAGATATTCCTTCCAGAAGTGAAGTTCTTCGGTTAAACCACTTAACGCTGTGGATTGGGCCTCAAGAATATAGTAAACAAATCAACAAAGTACAGAAACTTGACTGCATGATATGGACATACCTCAAACCCTAGTTTGAGCGGGCTTAACATGACCAGGATATAGAATAGTCAGAATAAGGTCTTACAGATTAATATTGGACATCTATGTCAGCAAAACTAAATTAAGTAGGACTAAAATTTGTGTTTCAGACTTGTCACATTATTTCCTTACATTTCACCATGAAAGCTTATATTTGCACCCTTACCCCACTAGATCTTTCTGTCTGTATTGGGTCATACCATACTGAGGTCATTCATGTCGATTAGGAATCGCAAACAAAGCTAACCAGTTACTAATCAGCCCTATTTGCGGTCGCGTTAGAGTGAATCTTTGATCGGTCATATTTACCTCTATCCTTTATTTTCACATAGAAAAATAGGAGGCAGAAAGAGTCCTTTTATTTGCGTCTACGTTTTAACGTTTAGTTACTTAGCCGCGTAGTGATAAAAGCTGCAAATGCTTTGTTCCATATTCGCAGACGCATTGTCATTCATATATTCGTCATCGTCCCGAGTGCTCATGTGTGTAATACTACTCCTTCTCTTAGGAAAAGTGGCCACTTATTGTGTTCTTGTGGCTGGAATTCAATTGCTTACTGCGATGTTAACACCAAACCATACGTATAGTGGCTAAATACTTCTGAAAGAAATACGCTAGCTTATGCAGTGTTAGCATACTTATGTGCTAATTATGTATAACTTATTCCTTTTCATGACTTGGAAATTTCAAAACACAAATCTGTTTTATAAGTTTCTATTGAGGCTACCTTTCGCGCTTGAACCCAGAGCGAATTGTTGCGTCAAGAGCGAGACATAGTCACAATGAATACCTACGAAAAACGATTTAGATTCTAAAACTTCCGAAAGCACGGACTGCTAGTCGGTTTAAGCCATCTTCCAACATACTGATGTCTTCTCTTTCGGTTTGGTTCGGTCATTTCCTTCATAAATTGTACCAAGGATGCCGGCTGCTCGAGCGATTGATTTAATCATTCAGAAAATCCTAAGAAATCGGTTGAATTTAAAAAAGAGCAATGTATCAACTTAATATTATGAGAATCTAAAGAGATATCATGTTTCTATACTCGCGATTCTCCCGACATTCCTTCTCCAGTTTGGCAAAAGGAACAAACATGTCTATTTTGAGGATCTGGCCTTGATTAAAGTTTGCTTTCCATCAAAAATATACTCTTCACTTGTCTATTTATTTTAGCACTCAGTTGTGCGAACCTGCACCATGCCGCAGTAGAGATAATACTTCCTTGGCTGAACATGTACAGCTTGAATTGTGTACTTTGAACTGAGCATGTATAGCACACACTCGATTACCGTTTACTAAGGAGTACTTCGTTATGCTTGGCGGCCATAGAATAGTGCATTGCTCAGGCAGAGTAAGCGAACTTGGTAGAGAGGAACAGAAGCATTGCTCGCTGGTCTCATTTATGTTATTTATTGTACATTTTAGGCATGAGTCAACCTAATCACTCCGTACTTGACAATACGAGGCATGGTCAACAATCGATACCTAGGTCATGGTTTAAATTGGCCACTTGTCTAACTGCCTGATTTAGGTGCGTTCACAGTTGAATTAGGCATTTCAATTAAAATGCAAGGTGGAGAAGGTCCCAAAGCTATTCTTTTACGTAGCGTGTGAACCAATCTTACTTGATGAACAGGCATCCAAGCATGTGATCAGTAAATGTAAAAGAAAATGAAGCCAGTTGCGCTAGACCAAAAAAGTACATGCCTTAGCTTATGTTGCTTGCCTATTCACAAATCGGACCGGCATGCCATCTGTTTCGTTTAATGTAAAGCAATCAATTGTACCCGCGCTGTTACTTTCTGTATATGTTAGCAAGATCTTGAAAATTAATCCTTGAAAACGTTTGTTTGCTTTTGGTCCTTTCTTCTTGATACCTAATTTATAATTCTCTAGTTACTGTAACTACATCTGGTAGTTTTTTGGTAAACTGAATGTTTAAAATCTAAAGCGTATGCAAGGGTGTGTATTATGGTAATTTATAAGATACGAACTAAATTTTTCACAACTTACTTCAGTCGGATAGCCAGCGCGCAGCTAGGAAAATTAGACTTTCTCTATGGTTATGGTCTGATGTCTAGCTGCCACTGATGCATTTACAGTTTAATTCTCCATGGAAAATCTAAACTGCATTTTTCAGATTTTCGCAGGCCGCCATGTCCACCTGGAATTTACCCTACAGCGGTCTAGGTAAGTTGTTGCATTTACCTACTAATCAATGCGGAATGAAACATCAGTTGTGAATAACCTCTACGGTCAGACTCGATGGACGAATCTGCGTTATTTGCCCCCACTACACGAAATGCCACACCAATGGTAATGTCGCCTGCGTCACTCAGGTCAACTTTTCTATCAGGCAGCCTAGGTTGAGCAGAGTTGATCCATTTCACTGGTCTGGAGCCGAAATATTAAAGGTAAATGTACAATCTGTTTCAACACGTATCAAATTGACGCCGTTACACTAATTCATGTTACTTGCAGTACACTACTTACACACCTGCGTAATAGTAGAGTTCCTGTGTCACTCTTGCCGCGAACCTCAGCAGGGCGTCTGCATTCACAAAGAGACCAGCAATTAATTAAACCGCAACATTATTAAGCCCACCAAGCTAACTTTATGTCTGGTACAAAACAAACGGACAAGATAGCGCGAAAAGTAGACGGAGCCACTGCACACTTTTCAACCTACAAATCGCTGATGTAAAGTGATACAAACCATGTATATCGGAATTAAATTTTGTTGCTAGTTACGTTCGACCATCGGTGTCTTAGCATTTTAGCTCACATCTGTTGGGAACACTGCATGAGCATCGAACGTCTTCGACGCCTTGTTTATGGCACAAGAAAAGGAAATGAACCACTCATCACCGTCATTTCACGCACCAGGCTCCGATGGCTCGGTAGCAGGTTGCGCATGCCAGCCCACTGACTTTCGCGACGTATGTTGTTTGCGCTCCGGGGGTGTGGATTGAAGAAGGGATGGGATGGCCAAGCGATGACTTGGTCCAGAGGAATGAACGCCCTCACTTCGGAGCCGGCCTCGCTTGGAGCTTCACGTCTCCCTGGTTGGGATCCGAAAGACGATGAACACGTTTGGCTAGGTACACTTGCAGACATGGCTAGGAGCCGACCTCAGTGGTATTTCTGCTGTAAGTTTCTTTGTCCCTTCCCATCCTTTTTAGCCTCCACCTTCAATCACGATCTTATTCCGTAGCATACTATAATTTTACATAAGAATTTTTCTTGTTGCCTAGTAGACGGTTGCTAGCTTTCCGGAACGATGCCCATCCGTTGCTGGTAGCTCAGTTGGCATGCAACCGTTTTTCTTTTATGTATTGCGGCACAGTAGCTGCGGTGTTTTTACACCGCTAGCTAACGTGTATAATGATGATGATGTTTTTGTGTCTGAACATTTCCGTAATGAAAACTGGGGTATATTTCTAATAAGCGGGCTAAGTTCCCAACTTATGATTCAATTAGTTGTACAAAGAAGTGGCACTGCGTTAACACATGTCCTACGCACATTAACAACTCCAAGTTTACACATGTAGTTTTCAAACCAGCAAGAGTGCTAAAGAAGTTACTGTCATTGTGCGATCATAGCTCTCCGGAAGCCGATCACATCCGCCCCAAAGCCCTGGAGGCTGTGGAAACTTACCTAGCCGAGTCACTATCACAGTTCTTCCAAAGATGTTTCGATGAACAGCAACCGCCCATTTAGTGGAAGCATGGACTATTTCCTCAATTTTTTAAAGACAATAGCCGTTCCGGTCCTTCAAACTATCGCCCGTGACTCTCCTCCCTGTGTTCGCGAAGATGGTGGAAGCGGTCGTCACTGAGGCGCTAATGGATTATTTCCATAAGTGCAACGTCTTGGCTCCGGAGCAGCATGGCATCCGTCAACACTGGTCATGCACCACCAACCTGATGATACCAACAAGTAGTTGGAAGGATGTGTTCAATGGTGAGTTAAGCGTCGATATCATCTATCTGGACTTCTCCAAAGCATCTGGCCGCCTGCATTACCGTATCTCGCTTCATAAACTACAGAGCTACGTAATCAAAGATCCTGTTAATGTTTGGATTGGCAACTTTTTTCAAAAATGGAGGCTTTAAGTGCGTGTTTAGGGATTGCAGTCCAACCCGATTGAGGGGGAATATGGTGTTCCACAGGTCTCAGGACTGAGGCTTCGCTTATTTATGGTGTTTCTCAACGATTCGGAAAGAGTTATCCCCACCTGTTTTTCCACGATAATGTTAATATCTGACAAACGACTAATAGCAATGAAGCTCCGACCTACTCCAACATGACCTGGGTTGCTTTCATGAATGATCAACGAAGAACTTCCTCGTGTGGAATCCAGCTAAGGGCTACACAGACATGTAAACAAACTGCCCCGGGTTAAGCACGAAATTTCTGCCATGCACACAGCATGCGCGTTGGCACAAACAGCACAAGAGACGGCTAACCTACTTGGACAACAATTTGACAGTACCTTCCAAAGCGTGCAATCATCTTACATCCTGCCTACACAGATCTTGCCGCCATCAGCACTTACTCACATATCGTTTATCACCACAGTTTTACTAAAGGTGCTGATGTACTTGCTCGAGTTCAGTCCCCCCCAGGTGCGGATGGCATTCCGCCGAAGGCATTGAAAATTGCCACCACGACTTTAACTCATAGCAATTATCTTTCAGTAAAGTCTTAACGTGGCGCACGTCCCCACGATGTGGAAGCAAAGCACGGGATCATCACTCCAGTTTACTAAAGTGGTAGCCGTGCTGAACCAGCAAATTATCACCCGATAACATTACTTACGATGATCTCCAAGGTCATGCAGTCCCGTGTGGCTGAGGCTTTAATGGGGTACCTGGAGAGTAACAACATTCTCGTTCCGGAGCAGCACGGATTTCGCCAAAATCGGTCCTATACCACTAATCTGTTAATAGCTTGTGCAATGGACGGAACCTGTGGATGCTGATGTAGGAGTCGGTGCGGCTTACCTAGACCATCGCATACTACTTCACAAACTCCAGAAATATGGGACCAGCTATCCCGTTCTGCTCTAGATAGTCGACTTTCTTGTTCAACGTCAGATAAATGTGAGGGTTCGCAACACCTTATCGGAACCAATCGGAGTTCAGTGTGGCATACCACAGGGGTCAGTACTCGGACCCATATATTTCTGGTCTTCATAAATTATATCGTGAGACTGCTACCTTCAAACTGTCTGATGTTTGCCGGTGAGCTAAAGATTTGGCGTAGCACAGCTACAGAGGAGGATCACACAGCCTCACAGGATGATCTGGACAAAGCGTACACATGGTCTAACAAGAACATGCTGCATTTCAAAGCCATCAAGTCCAAAGTTCTAAGCATACGGTATCAGAGTATTCACAACTACCACCTAGGATCATAAATACTACAGCGGGTTTCTCATGTATGCGATCTCGGATTGCTTATTCAGGATGGCCTCGGTTCTTTGAGGTAGACTGAAAAATCATCAGAGAAAGCAAACCAGCACTTCGGCCTTCTTCGTAGAGGGTTCGCAAAGTTTGACGCCTCAGTCTTTCCGAAAATGTTTGGTGCGTACCTGAAGCCGCACGCGGAATACGCTATTCAAGCGTGGCAACACAGGCTGAAGCACCATCTCACCGCACTGGATACTGCGCAACGCAGGGCGATAAAGAAGGTCAGAGGTTTGTCGCGCCATCCCTACCCACTCAGGCTGAAACCCCACAAAATATACAGGCGTCTAAGAGGCGATCTCATAATAGTGTACTGCGAGCTGAGAAACCCCAACCACACATACCATTCTCCCTTGAAACCCAGTCAATACACATCTCTAAGGGGGCATCAGTTTAAGCTGACCACGTACTACAACCGATTGGGAGGTTGACGAAATTTTTTCTCCCTCCGAGTGTCACAGACATGGAACGCCCTCTCGACGAATGCAATTAATGCCCCCACCTTATCCCTTTTCAAAGAAACGCCCTGACAATACTCTGATACATTTACTCTACGTGATATAGCCCATGACCATCTGATGCTGGCATTACTGCATAACAAACAGTGTACGATGTCATAACCCCATTCGCACATGAGTTACTCCCAACTCCTTGGTGATTCCTGAATTCCAGGCATTCTTTTACCGTTTCGTAATTATCACTAACTACCCTACAGGACATGTCAGGCATTCGCTTTTATACCCGTTATAAACTATTGCTATTTTGCTCTATTGCAAGGCGATCCACCTGCGTCACCAGCTGGTAAGCTTGTACACGCTTGCAGATAACATTTTGAAGAAAACCTCTCAGGAGCGTGACTTGGGTTGACTGATACAGGGTGATCTCGAATGCTCACAATAAACGCAGAAGGCGGAGACCACTGGCAAGCATCAATTTGACCTTCTTCGCAAGGCGTTCGGTCGGTTTGATTACTCAATCTTCTCATAAGTGCTTAACGCCTACGTGCGACCGCACGTGGAACACGCCACCCAAGCGTGGCAGCCGCGGCAGAAATAGGAACACTTGGCTCTCGGGACTCCTCAAGGAAGGGAAACCAAGAACTGCAGAGGTCTTTTCCTGCTGCACTATGGGCTTCGATTGTATTCCTCAGGAATGTACAGCGTTCGATATCGGAGTTGGCAGGGAGACCCTATAAGCATTTACTAGACTCTGAAGAACCCAAACCACATTTGCCGTTCGCTGCTGGAGCTGAACCACAAAGCTAACCAAAGAGGTCCTTCTTTGCAACTGACAATACAGGACAAATACATTGTTGGCTCAAAGTTGATTTAACGAACCTAAGGCCATTACTGTCGTGTATGGTATCGAGTGAACCTGTGTGCTTGTCGATTGATAGACAATGTGGGAGTATGTGTTTTCAGCTCCCAATGGACCAGCAATATATAAAGTGTCGAAGGTAAATATTCAGCCACGTGAGTAGTCTGGCTTTATATTTGAACAATGAACAATGAATTTATACGGGTTACAAAACGTTGCTTTACATGTCCCGTTGGATAATTGGTGAGGATATCGACATACCAATAATGACAGGAAAACAGTTAGTATTTACATATGAAAATAAGAACTTATCGTTCGCTCCGCCATAGTCCTGCAACCCGCTTAGATTCACAGCACCGGCAGTTAACAGCAAATAATTCCATGGTAAACTCCAGGTGTAGGATGGAGACGTAGTACTAAGTGACAAAGTGTAACTGGATGAGTACATCATCCAACCGTCTTTTATATACGGTTTGTGTCGGTGCAAAGACGACAGATTTTGGGAAAGCATTCCACCGATGACAGACACGAATGGAAAAATTTCTGCGGCACTCCAGGCGGCTGTACTGTACAGCCAGTTTCAATGAGTGGCTGCTCAGGGTGGTATTGGTACTGAGTCGCAGTA